GCCAAAGGCGTTTAAAAGGCCACCGACAAAGCCACCTAAACCCCAAGCCCAAACTCCTGAGCAGGTTTGAGGTCTAGGAACTCACCCTAAATAAATACAATAAATAAGCACATCAATAAATAAATAAATAAATAATAATATATATATATATATATATATATGTATGAATATATATACATTAAACCCTAAGCCCTCAAATCCTAAGGCTTCCTAGAACCTGAACACCTTCGGACCTGAAGCCGTAAAGCATAGTGTCGGGTTCAAGGCTGAGGGATCTGGGTAGGCAGTTGGGGTTCACGACCTTTGCGGCTTAAGGTCTGAAAGCCTCAGAGAGACTTGGGCGGGTGTAGGACACTCTGACATAGGTCTTGGGTTCAGGGTTTAGTTTAGGATATGGGTAGTTTTCTAAATCAGGGTCCTTTTTTGGGGGTCCTTTTTATAAGGCTGCCGTACTATATTGGGGACCCAAAAAAGGGACCCTCATTTAGAGAACCACTCATATGAGTTCAACGAACAAGGCATGCAGAGATGCTGGCGTCAAGCGGGCCCGCAAGGTCGGCAAGAGCATAGGAACCAAAGCCCTTTGAGGTTTAGGCTTTCAGGGTCTGGGGCTTCAGGGACTCAGGGTTTAGCAGGACTTCCGAAGGTCTCGCCCCGGATCCTGACCTTTTCTTCGACTTTTCATCGCACTGATTTGCAAGCAAAGGCACTGCAGCTCTTTCACGAAACCTTCGAGGAGACCCACGCCGAGCACAAACGAATGACCCCACCAAAGTCCAAATTCCTAAACACAAACATTGACACCGCAAAACATCAGAATCTTTCACGATCTCCGCCGGAGCCTCATATGTTCACGACGGCCTATGGCTGGGTTGCCTGAGCCAGGAAGTCCCAAAGCCTATGGCTTGGAAGAGCGCTTGAACCCTTCTTCCCCAGTTTTACCGGGGTTTAGGGTTTAGGGGTTTAGTTGAAGGAAGCTACCGGTGGGGAGTTCGGGGTATGTAGGGCTTCTACAATAATAAGGCTCCTGTAACGGAAACTACCCACCTGAAAATGTCCTAGATTTAGGGCCTAATCCCCCTGCGACCCATGACCTTTCAGAAGCCCGAAGTCCGAAGCACTCGGGAACAGCGAGACGAGACCTCTCAACACGGAAGACCTCTGCCTCCCATGGTTCGGACTTACATTTGGCATTTGGGGAAGATCCGAAAGTAAGCTCCCAACAGTAACGCTGAGTGAGTACACAAGTGAACGCCGCGCATCCTTGCACGATCCCGGGCTTAGGGGCTTTGGGATTCACGGCAGGCTCACTCCTGAACACAGTGTTGCGTTGCCCAGGTCGACCTGTTTGCTGTCAGTGGCACCAAAAAAACCCCTAAGCCAAACAGTACTCTCCAATGTTTCACCCTAGACCTCAAACCCTAAAGAGCGGTCGCGGCTTGAAAGACTTGACATACAACGGCGCAAACCGCAAAGAGCAAAGGTATCAATTCGAGGGTACGGTCGAGCTTTACATTAAGAACTCTCAGGTGACAAGAAATTCGATGCTGAGTTCATGGGTCTCAATGCTGGAGAGCTTTACTTCTAACCACCGAAACTCTGTGTGTGGATAATGTCACCAGGAGGAGAAGGGAGGAGTAGAATGTAGGGCGCAGGGTTCCAGGTACACCCCAAAACCCAAAACCTCTAAACCTCTAAACCCATCCTCTCTGCAGCCCGATCGCCATGGGTAGTGTCTGTGCGGCAGTTCATCGTGCGGAAGCTCATGGCTACCTGAGCTCTGGTCTCCAAGCATCCTATGGGGTTCTAGCTGAGGCGCTCCGCATCTGTCTTTGCTTTAAGGTTTGGTACAACCCTCAAACCCTAAGCCCTGAAACTCAAATCCGAAACCCTAAACCTCAAATCCGAAACCTTAAACCCTTAATAAACCGAAGGCAGCCGCACGAAGTCAAGCAGACCTTGACACGGTGAAGGCTTGCTGGCGACAACGGGCTCGAACAACCATGGTAGACTGCAGCTGTCCCGTTGACGCTTTGGGTTTCTGCTCCATTGCCAGCATACTGCTACTATGGCGACGACGTCGTGCTAGCTACAATCTCGCCGGTTCAGAAAGCAAGGATTTCTTCATCCAAGCGCTTGACTGGAAGCAAACGGCCAGGCGAGGGGCGAAAAGCTCCTCGGGCAGCCACCAGTTCTCCTCGGATTGGCTCTTGCATCTTTACAGCGCGAAACGTGGAACCCTACTTGGAGGTTCATGGGTAGTTAGAAGTAGGGTTACAAGTCCCCTAATATGGGTTATAAGTATAGTTACCCTACTTATAAACCCACTTATAACTACCCATGAACCTCCAAGTACACCACCCCAAAGTCAGCTAAGCCCTCTACCGCCCAGATGACTACCACAGCACCCAACTCTGTGCCAGTGAGGAGCAAAAAGGGATGCTGGCGGCTTTCCCGGGGGCGGTCGTCCAATAGCTTGAAAGCTTCTTTTCGACCCTTAAAGAAGCCTAATGCTGCATTTGCAAGCATCTGGTTGGCTTGAGAGTGTAAAACTACACTCGAACTGCAGCTGCCCTGCGTATTCGCTTGATTTGCTTGTAGTCTTTATAACTCGACTTCCGGCGGCTCTAACCGCCACGCAGACCTACAGCACTCCTGGAAACGGCGAGCGGTTCCAGCAGAAAGATGCAAGGCAAGGGTTTCAGGGCTGATAGAGCTGCTGGGTTTGGGGTTCTTGTGTGGGCTCAGGGTTGGATTTGCTCTATCCGGGCTTGGGGGTTTTGCAGGGTGTGGGGCGTTTGGGTTTCGAGTTTCGGGATCAGGGCTGCCATAAGGGTGGAGGACGAGAATCCAGGAAGAAACCTTTGAGGCTTTAGAGGGTTGGGGTTCAGGTCTATTCTGTCGGGTTTAGGGCTTCGGGCCAATGAACTTAGCAGGGACTGCCTTCCTCGTTGCAAACATGTTCCGGCTGGGGCGAGTCATGCTCAAAGTGGTGATGCTTGATCCTTTCAAACGAAGCCTAGGCTCTGACAAGGGTTTGCCAACAGATTCTCGTAGGACTCGTAAGGATCAAGCATGTCCACACAGTTTTATGAAGCTTACATGCCTCTTTTAAGGTCCTTAGGGTGCAAGGCTGTTTCACTCCGACATGAAACAGTGTCAGCATGCGAAAGCTGATCGCTTAGACGTCGCAAGCATCCGGATCATGTCGTTGCCGCGATGAAGATGCATGTGCATATATATATATATATATACACACACACATACATGCTCCAAGAGCCATATATTAAAGGTATATATATATATATATATGTATATATATATATATATATAAACACACTACCAGTGTGGAATGAAGTCCCAAAAGACCATCCCTGTAGTGGCTATGGAGACCTAATTCCATACGTAATACAAAAGGACCCTCTTGGAACCCCCCAAAACCGCTATACTTGGAGGATCAGGGAACTTAGTGACTCGGGGTCATAAGTCATTACAACTATACTTACCAGGCCTAAACCCTAAACCCTAAACCCTAAACCCTAAACCGTCCACCCTGGTCCTCCCTTATGGATCCATTAAAGGGGCCCTTGCAGATATTAAGTCCCATGATCCCTTCAAGTACTCGGCACCGCGCCCGAAGCATCAGACCTCCAGAACAAGGCATGGCGGCAGAAAGGATGAAGGCAAACACCAGAGACAAGTGTAGAGGCCTTACTAATTAAGACTAGCTTTGTTTGGGGTAGTTTTAGTAACAGTAGATATAATTCAATGGCGTTTCTAATGGAGACTACTTCGGGAATGGTGTAACTAATTCTCTGAGCTGCTGTATTGAGCACTGCGACTCCTCAGCTCAACCCACTCAACACAACAGCCCCGAAGCCTATATAAAGACAGAGAAACACAAGACCATGGAGGGTAACCTAAGAGGAGAGCCCTGAAGTCCCTCACAAACCCTAAAACTCCTAAACATGGTACTCCACACTTGGAGGTTCATGGGTAGTTACAAGTAGGGCAACTATACTTATAACCCATATTAGGGGACTTATAAGCCTACTTATAACTACCATGAACCTCCAAGCAGTCGCTTGACGCCACTGCACATCCTCTGTGCACTTCGTCTACAAACATCTGCACCGCGGCCGGCCATACCCAAAACACTCGGAAAAGGGATAGCCAAAAAATGACATGGCAACTTTTCTTCCCTGTCCATGTAAAAACCTTCCTGCCCCAAACTTTGGCAGTGTTAGAAATGAGCACAAGCGGGTGCAGGTGCCGGGCACTAGCTTTCGATGGTGATTAATTCTTCTCCGGCCGCAAGACGTGCACCCTGGTCGGGGATGCAATGACGTAAGCTATGGCTGCAATGAGATCTGCCTTGAGAATGAATGCCACCCCCACTTGCACTAGGGTGTGGCCAACGGTCACCGAAGCCCGTTTGGACAAAGAACCTGCCTTCCGAAAGGGTTCGGACGAGCTGGCTGGATGATGATAGTGTTGGGGTTATACGTGCTTAAGACGGTGTCATCAAAGGTTTTGGTTGGGGTTGCGCAGCATAAATAAAGATGGACGTGGGGTGTGACGGTTGAGGAGTCGAGGGGGTGTAGGTTGATAAGGACGACAAACTGAACACATAACAACCCCTAAACCTTGAACTCTTGAACCCTGAATGATAAAACATGACGAGCCGCTACCAGCACTAAGCCTTTAACACCCGATATCCTAAAGCAATGCCATGAAACCTAAACCTGAAATCGCAGGGAGTCCTCAAGCTCTCAGTCCTAAACCCTAAACCTTAATTTTAAACCCTTCCATGCTTGTTGGTAGATGCTCCACATAGTATTCGGGAACAGAAAAGATGGTTTTCGGGAGGGCTGGTGCGGAGGACCATAGAGCACTAAAGCCTAGTTACTTAGTAGGCGCAGCGAGTCTCTGAAAAAACCCTAAGCAGTTTGACTGTAATCCAAAGTAGTGTTCTGCGCTGGCTGATCCATCCAAGCTGCTTGTCTTTATCTCTTGCCTCGCAATCAGATGCAGCTTCAAGGAAGCGCTACCATGCAATGATTCTTAGGGTGTGGGGTTTACAGCTTAGGGCTTTTTCGATTTTAGATGTGGGGCTTTAGGGCTTTTTTGTTTTCACATGTCTGACACTTGCCCTAAACCCAGCGACCTTGCGAGGAGTGACATCTTGAGATGATTTTAACACGGACACGCCGGGCACGGTGTAGGGCGTAGCAGAAACGCGGGCTTTTGCGACAGTCGGGTTTAGGATTCCCTGCATTCCCGCTTTCGTCGCGGTATGGTGCGGGGGTGTTCGGGTGCTGCAGTATGTCAGGGAGGCAGTGGGCCACATAAACAAAGGCGGTGGCTGATGAGCGAGATGCTGGGTGAAGAAGTTGATCCCTACACCTTAAACAACCCTGGCCTTAATATAGGGGCCTTAATAGTTAGAACAGGGGTTTTGGGGCCCATTATACTCTAACTACAATAAGGAACCCTACACCGATTTCATCCCTAATCCCTAAACCCTAAACTCTAAACCCACAATCCTAAAACTCTAAACCCTAAACCCCAAACCTAAATTGCCGAGAGCGCCGCTGACCATTTGCATGGGGCGTTCGAGGCTCCGAGCGAGGCCCCCGGCCGAGCGTCTCGACAGGACGGTGAGGGAGGGTAAAGCCTCCCGGTAGACGGGGACGAAGATCACTCGGCTATGCCTCAAACCATACGGACGTCAGTCCGTGAAAAATGCACGACCATTGATGTGGTTTGTGGGTACCTCAGGGGGTCTGGGGCCCCAGGCTGGCACATTCCAATTTTGCGTTTTTGTGGCGGCTGTCCGAGAAGGGGCCCTGCCCTACCCTGGCCCTGATCCGGGAACACACAAAAATGAAAAAGAATTTGACATGGCAAAATCCTGCCCTGCCCTGCCTGCGAGCAACCCTGACTGGGTGCGAGAAGCGAATTGTTTGTTGGGAACCCTTGCTTCTCGTCGAGCGGCCGGCACAAGGACCCACAACCCGACACTTATCCATCGTAGCTGTGGTTTGCTGTCAACCGCGCGGAAGCAGAGCCCCCCTCGAGGGGGGTTTGCGGGGTGACCCTAAACCCCTAATTGAGAATAGTAGGGGTGGTTGGGGCGGGACTACATGCTGACGCAAGCGCGCGATTAGTGGATGCGCCCCGATTCCTAAAGTAAAAGGCGCACCCACCGCGCACACACTGTCTACACACCCTAAACCCCAAACCCGAAACCCTAAACCCTAATCCCTAAAGCAATCTGGCCCCGAGCATTGAAAGGCAAGCCGGGCTGTGCCTTTTGCCTGCGCGGCCTAAGGCCTAAGGTTCAGGAAGCTCTCAAGCTCCAAACCCTAAACCCCCCAATAGGGCTTAGGGTTTAGGGTTTATTTTTTTTTAAAGTGTAGTAGTCCCCCTTTCAGGGTTTAAGGATTTAGGGTTTTTGGATTAATAGTTAGGGGCCTAAAGAATTACCAAGACTATTTTTGGGGTTCCTTTTTATGATTCTAGTATACTGGGCCCCAAAATGCCGTTCTAATTATTAAGGGCCCTACATTAGCCGCAACGATCTAGCATCCAAAGCCCTAACACCACAAAGCCAATCCTTCTCCGGGGTCCCTGGTCTAACCCTAAACCCTAAACCCTGAAACATCCAGGAGTTCGGGACCGCCTTGTCGTCTTTCTTAGACTTCTTCTGCTTTCGATGACGCTCGTCCCCAATCCAGACCTTACTTCTGGAGAATTCGCCCTTGAGGCTACCCTAAAGCCTAAAGAACATCCTAACCCCTAAGCGGAGTCTATTGAGGGCTTTTGCATGGGGGAGATTTGGCGGGTTGCGACTTGAGTTGAGGCGAATTCATTGGACATAGCCGGAATGGCAGAACCCTCCCAAACCCTTAACCCTAGTGCCCTCGGGTACAACCTGCTATCGCCAAGCAAGAGATCTGAGAAAGCTGCAGCAAGAAGAAGCCTGAAGAAGAGGTAACCTACTTGGAGGTTCATGGGTAGTTATAAGTGGGGTTATAAGTAGGGTAACGATACTTATAACCCACATTAAAGGACTTATAACCCTACTTATAACTACCCATGAACCTCCCAGTACCCCTTTTACACTGTGTAAAAAGGGGTAGGTTTCCTCTTCTTCAAGGCTTCTTTTGGCTGCAGCTTTCTCAGATCTCTTGCTTGGCGTTACACGGGTAACAGCCTAAGCCCTATAATGGGTTTAAGGTTGAAGCAATTAAACGCCTTATAATACCTTAACCTACCAGAACCTACTTTTTTGTAGGGTCCCTATAAATTCCATATTAGGGTTTATAATAAGAGCCCACAAAAAAGTGGGGTTTGGTAGTTCAAGGTAGAGTTTGGGCTTTGTTTTAAACTGCGATGGGCCCCTTTTTTCCCGCGGGAAGCTCACGCAAAGGGGAGCTGCACTGAAAAGCCTCAACAGGTAGAAGACAGGGTTTAGGCTTCAGGGCTTAGGGTTTCATTTAACCCGAAGCTCTGAAACCCTAAAACCCTGAACAAACCCCACTTGGAGGTTCAGGGTAGTTATAAGTGGGGCTATAAGTAGGGTAACTATACTTAACCCTAAACCCTAAACCGATATTGGGGGACTTATTACCCTACTTATTCCAAGTAACGCCCTCGTGAGGCCCAGGAGCATAGAAGACCTTTTGGATGGTACATCGGCGCTCGTCCAAGGACCACTCCTTTTGGGGGTTTTAGGTTTTTTTTTTTTTGGGGGGGTTTTGCCTCTAGACTCCCGCGCTACCTAGGGGTTTGGGATTACAATTCATAAGGATGAGCGCTTTAGGGCAATTAGGTGGCATATGTGCCGTTTAACCCTGTCATGGTTGGGGATACCCAGCTTTCTTATTTATACAAGGTCCGAGCCCTCAAACTCATGCAACTCCGAAACTCAAACTGACGCACCCAAGCCCTAACCCACGCAGAGTAGAACTCATAACATAGGGAGCCTTGATGATTGGAATGGGTATCGAATTTTTCAGGATTCCAGAGTAAGCCCAGAGACTCCAATACCCCTTAATGAAGGAATATACCTTAAATCTTATTAGGGATCCTACTATAATTTGAAGTATATACCTTAATTAAGGGGTATTGGAGTCTCAGGGAGCCCAGAAAAGACAGCTCCGCCTGCCTGTGACTTGAAATCCTTGAGCCCCTCGGGGGTGCAGATCTTCTTCTCCACCACGAAGCGGGCAAACCTCATAGGTTCAGGACACCCTACCTTCACCTACCAAAACCTACTTTTTTGTAGGGTCCCTATAAATTCCATATTAGGGTTTATAATAAGAGCCCACAAAAGAGTGGGGTTTGGTAGTTCAAGGTAAGCCCTAAACCTAAACCCTGGAACATAGAACCGGGAAGCGTGAAACCTGAACAACCTCTGGGTTTTGATTTGATGCTCCGGGTGTTTTCGGGGCTCAGGGTTGGGCGGTCTACCCAAAGGGTACTTGTAATCACGGGGTCTGATGGGTTGCTGGTGGTCTGGGTACTCGCAGTAACTTTGGTGCAGTGGTGCTGCCGCGGAGCAGGCAGCGAGCCTTCGCCACGACATCCTCTGGCGCTTGCTCGAACTGAATCTGCCAAGGCGCACTGCTGATGAGCCCGAGCCATAAGCCCTAAACCAGTAACCTGAACTACAAGCCGTGCTCTAACAGAAGAGACTAAGATAAGGGAGAAAAACACAACTAGCAACGTGAGGCCAATATTGCCGGAAGAAAGCCTCCAACGTACAACCTCCAACATCTGATCGGCCTGCCCCTCCCATACGACAAAATCACTTTATATCCAAAAAATCACCCCATCCTCTCAGTCTATACTCCCAAACCCTGCACTTAAAGTCCGGAAACCCTAAACCCTAAACCCTAGTGCCCCACAACCCTAAGACCCAAAGCCTTTCTGACAGAAAGCACGCAAGCTCCAAAAGCATTATCTGAAGCCCCGAACCCAGCAGAGTAGTGCGCGTAGATATAGATGAAGTAGATTCTACTTAGTAGATATAGATATAGACATGAATCCAGATATAGATCTCGATCTACCTCGGTATAGATCTAGATGTAGATCCAGATCCAGGTATAGATCCAGATATAGGGTTTGCAACCCTTAACATAAACGGATTGCTGGATGGACAGCCTGAAGAAGATCTAAAGCCCACTCCATGTAATTCCCGTAAGCCATACAAAACCCAAATGTCTCCGGAAGCTTCCTTGAAGCCCAAAGCTTACGGCCCACAAGTCCTACCCAACCCTTTAGACACATCGAGAACCCTACGAAACCCATCAGAACCTTAGAAACCTCTGGCCCCACTACGGTTTAGGCTTTAGGGTTTACTAGGAAGTCAGAAGACTCCTCCGTGGCCTCGACCAAGGTTGTGCCCTCTGGGAGATTGTGCGCTTGCACCTGGGCACGGTCATCTCAGGGGCTGCGGGTTTAGGGCTTAGGGTTTAGATACTTGTTACATTAAGGAACCCTAAGGGCTGTGGGTTTACGATTTAGGGTTTAGATACAGTTTTTATTGTTAAGGAACCCTAAGAAATGGGATCAACAACTAGGCTAGAGTTCTGAGGGCATATGATACAGCACTAGAATTATTTCAGGAGCTGTAAGCAAGAGTGTAAGGTTATCTCTGTGGCCGCGGCCGACTGGAAGTACTCATCGCTGGTGCACCTGGCCAGAAGGCAGCCCCTTCGCTGTTTCTGATGCTGAATTACGGCGTCCTGTCTGGCTCTCTCCATGCCACTCCCTACCCTGAATCCGTACAACGTATTACCCAAAACCCCATCAATATATTTGACTTCATGGTTCGCAAGACGAAAACCAGTTCAAACCCGCCCCGAAACAAAGTGGCTCCTACACATACAACGCTTACACGCTCCCTCTCCCTTTCTTTCAGGTTGCTGTCAGGCTCAAACCTAGTTTTCTGCATTAAGTGGGGTATAGGAAAGCTTGACGGCCTTACGCTTTGGCACTTTGGGAGGATTGACCTTTAGCACTGGCCGGCAGCGGGGGATTGTGTCCGGGAAGTCGCTGGGGGAATGCCCGATTGCATAATCGACATCGACTGTCTTCAAGCACGAAGAAGGGGAAGGCCGCGACGGTAAAGCACATTGTATTGGCTTAACATGTTGGGTTTGGGTTTTAGGGATGTGCTCCTCGAACCGCTGAGAATACTAACCCACGGCGGTTACTGCGGCAGAACGGACCGAGTCCTAAGCGAAACCACTCATTACATTGCTAGAGGCTTTTTCCGGCTTCCGGGCCATGAAGTAGTCAGTAAGGCTTCAAGTTCACCAAGAGCTCCTGCCTCACCTGACCCCAGAATCCCAAAGCTCGGCGGTCGAGGCCCAAAATTGCGGGATAAGAAGCCTCACAAGGAACACTCTACAGACCCAAACCCTGAACTTTGAAGCCCTGAGCCCTTAGCTTCTCTCGGCCCTGTCGGTATTTTGGGCAGCACAAGGCCCGCACTTCACGAGAAGGCAATGACCACCTTCCATTGTGGCTGAAGCAAGTTTCAAAGAGAAATGTAAGAGTGATACAATCCGGAATATGTGTATATACTCTTACTACACCCTACCTACACCCTACATTAATGATGAGTGGATGGGAGGGACGGATCTACCAAAGTGAGGCCCCTACTCGCCAAGTTTAAGACCCAGTAATGTTTGAGGGTTGGACATTCTTCACTTCCCCCTAAACTACAAAGCAACTTGCAGCAAAGGTCTAGCTCCGCCGTTTACTGCGCTCATGATGCCAGTTTTAACTATAATGCAAACCCTACGCCCTGAAGCCCAAAATGCAACATGTTGAACACATGCATCCCCCTCAGGAAATCCGAGTCCTGGCTCACTGGTTGCATTCAGCTCCGAAGAACGTGACCAGGAACAATGCTTGTAAGCAATGGTTGCGACTCTACGCCCTAAGCCCTAAATCCTAGTCAACTTAGTCTTAAACCCCAAAACCCTAAACCCGTCCACCGCACCCAAACTCTGAACTTTGGACGCCACACCCCTAAACTCTAGCCTTTTTGCGCCAGACTGGATCCTCACCAATCCCAGAAAGCCCTTTCTGGTTCCGGGAGGTAGTGTAGGGGCCTTCATAATTGGAATAGGGCTTTGGGGTTCCTTATTTCATTTATAGTATAATGTATCCCAAACCCGAATGTACTTGTTAAGGCCCCTATATTAGTAAGTCCGGGTCTTGAACTCTCGGGGTTTAGGTTTGTGGGGTTGGAAGTTCAGGAATTAGGGCGTGCACCATGGGTAGTTCTCTAAACTGGGGTCCCTTTTTGCGTCCCCAATATAGTACCCAAATTTAGAGAACTACCCACATGGGGGTTAAAGGTTACTTTGGGGTTCCGAAGTGATGCCGAACCTCGGATTTTGTCAGCAAAGAGCCTTCAAATCTACCACAAACCTCAACCTCCACCTTGCAAGGTCAGTTCACGCATGGTGCAAACCACACGGCTTTCAAAACTCAACCCCGAACTAGAGGCTGTGTCGTGCCTTTGTTGCCTTCACTGATGGATTTCAGATCTCTGCTGAGCCTCGCAGCTCTTTTCGGTTTAAGTAGAGTTTAAGGGTATCCCTGTGCTTAGGCATTTGGGACTTCGGGCACATGCGCTACTATGGAGTAGTGACGGGGTGCTGGGAAGTGTTCCGTACGAACACACCAGGCGTCTCTCGGTGTAGAATTAACTCCGTCGTGGCTTCGAGCAAAGAACAGCCTCAATCGAATGCCGTTCATGTAGTTGAGAAATACCAACTGCGAAGTTGGGTAGTATTATTAGGGGTACCCCTTGAAGGGTACCCCTTCTGAACCCTACTTGTGGCTCTCTTAAAAGGGACCTTGTTGAGAGGGTCTACATCCCCAAGGGTTCCCCCCAATCCTAGCTCCCAGAAGTAGAGTGTGAGCCAGTCTCGCTTGGGGTGTTGGTACAGCTGCCAGCGCTCTTCATGAACCTTGCCTGTCTGGTGCTTAGTAGGGAATGGGGGAATGGGTTACAGGGACTACTATAATGGACCTTAAGGGACTATCATAGGGATCCATTCCCCCATTCCCTACTAAGCACCAGACAGTTGCTGTGTGCTCCATGAAATCGTCAACGGGCTATTTCCTAGGCACGCGATGTTTGTCTTCTCTCGATACGTTCAGAATGCCAGTGCCAAGCCCTCTGCAAGACGAGTGTGTAGAAGGCTGGCACAACTACTGTCTGGTGCTTAGTAGGGAATGGGGGAATGGATCCCTATGATAGTCCCTTAAGGTCCATTATAGTAGTCCCTATAACCCATTCCCCCATGCCCTACTAAGCACCAGACAGACTATTCTCCATTGTGACTTTTCCGAAGGTCCTATTCAATTAGGGTTTGCGGCCCTGGTTCTGAAAACACAAACCTTGAGGCAACTTATTCCCCACAAAAACCAGGGCCACGCAGAAGGCCGGACAGCTATCAATTGCAAAAACCTGAAACCCTGCACCTAAAGCCCAAAACCCTGGACCCTTCTATCCGTATAGTAACCCTATAGAAGCCTTTCAACTACCCCAGCAGCGATAGTTCACTATGAGCCACGCAGTGCGCTGAGGGCAAGAGGCTGCTTGGTGATGGAATCCCCCCAGAACTCGGTGAGGTAGAGCCCTGAGGGCTTCAGAGAAAATGCTGCTTAGGGTAGGATGAGGGTTTAGGGTATGTGACTTGGAGGTTCATGGGCAGTTATAAGTAGGGTTATAAGTCTCCATAGTATGGGCTATAAGTATAGTTACCCTACTTATAACCCCACTTATAACTACCCATGAACCTCCAGATAAGTCTAGGGCCTAAACCCGAAACCCTAAACCCTCCACCCCTCCCCCTAAACCTTAGGGTTTGCCCTAAAGTTCACGAGTCTTTCACTCCGTAGGGCGATCGCTTGGCCTAGAGGCCTCGGCTGCTACAGTAAGGCTGTTAAGGGTTCAGGTTTAGGGCTTAGGGCTTTGGGCTTTGGGTTCAGGTTTAGGGCTCAGGGTTTGCAGGGTTTGGGGTTTAGGGTTTAGGGGTTCAGGTTTAGGGCTTAGGGTTCAGGTGCCTGCATCCCTAAAACCCTAAAGCCCCAAACCGTTCACCCTCGGAATCCCAAAGGCCCGGCAGTCCTAAACCCTAAAGCTTGACCCTTCGGGATAGTCAGACCTTCACGAACCCTAGCCAAGGGTCCATGTGCTAGGTAGCATATACTCTCTGCCTTTATACATAGATAGATGGATAGATAGCTAGACACATAGATAGATAGATAGATACAGATAGAGATAGAGATAGAGATAGAGATAGAGATAGAGACACAGATAGAGAGATAGAAGTAGATAAAGCAAAAAAGAAACATATACATATGTACGTACGTATGTTTGCATGTATAGGTATGTAGGAACCCCTTCAGCTCAAAGGCCAAAGTACCCTGCATGACACCTACCCCCCCCCCACCCCCGGCACCAAAAGACTATTACAACACCCTCAAAGCACAAAAAACGGTGCCTTTTGGGTGTAGAGAAAAGGGGGTTTGGTGTGTAGGCCTTGGGGATGCAAGGTTTTGCTCTAGAGAAGGAGGTCGGGGCCAGATCGTAACCCAGGTGCCTAAGAATCACACAATCTCCCACTTCTGGGTTGCCTTAAGAAGACACACTCCGAACCCGAAACCCTCAACCCCTGAACCTAAGCCCCAAACCTCAGAACCCAAACAGGGAAACCTCAGACCCTACAGCCCACACCCTCTCGTCTGCGGCCTTTCTTCGTCTTGATCTTGGCGTTCATCGGGACGTCTCTGACAGGCCTTGGATGCGAAGAGAGTCTGTGCATACGTTTAGGGTTATTGTTGCTGAGGGCCCCTTTTAAGGGTCCAGAGGTAGGGCCCCAGAATCCTAGGGTCTTACGGCTTATACGGGGGTTTCCAAAAATAGGGAACCCTACTAGGCCCTAATATAGTACCCTAAATAATAGCATCCTTATTATAAGGAGCCCAAAATAAGGTACCCCTAATTATCGGAAACCCACATGTGTTGTAGGGCCCCAGAACCCCAGGGTCTTACGGCTTATACGGCTCGAAGGTTTGGGGTTAATATGGAGACTACCTGGCTACATAAGGGGTATATAAGGACTATACAATGGCTATTTAAGGTAATGGGATTAAGGGTCCCTATTACTGTCTGGTGCTTAGTAGGGAATGGGGGAATGGCTTATAGGGACTAATATAAGGGACCTTAGGGATTATTTATAGGGATCCATTCCCCCATTCCCTACTAAGCACCAGACGGATTAGGGGTCCCTCCTAAAGTCCTTAGATTGGGGGTTTAGGGTAACTATACTTATAACCCATATTAGGGGACTTATAACCCTACTTATAACTACCCATGGACCTCCAAGTATACGGCTCGAAGGTTTTTTTTTGGGGGGGGGGGG